AGTGTGCCAGAGACTCCACGAACTTCTTCAGTATTGAAGAGCAAGATTGGGCACTCATTCCAAAACCTTTTCATTTTTTGAGCATAAATCATACATTCCGGCTTCTGATACAGGTGAGGATCAAGAACATGTAAATCTAGAGGCTGCTGTGGCTACTGGCCGTGGCAGCAGAAGTGTGGAGTAGCACTAGGTGTGCTTGCTGACTTGGGGACTGTTGGGCAAACCCTGCCTTTGGCTTGCCCGCCTGAGTTTCCCACTGTACCCTTACCCTCAGCTCCCCGGGAGACTGAGAACGCTGCAGGTTCCTCCAGAGGCCAATGGGCCCACACCAGGGGCTCAGGTTGGTTTGTAAGACAGAGATTTGCAGTTCCCCCCCGCTAAGTCTGGGTGTGTGGGAGGATGGTTTTGTTAGTCTGTGCGTACGCGAGCTGTTCCGACGCTGCGCAGGAAAACACAACGGTACAAATGAAAGCAAAAGGAGAGGTGGAGAAAACCCGTCACGCTTCTAAAAGTGATTTAGCCAGGATGTTTTTTCTTTTTAGTGACTGAGTAGTCTGACATGTTGCAAAATACAAAGGCTCGGCATATTCCCAGCAGCAGAGTGAAAGCTGGAACTACCCAGAAGCAAAACCTGTCATTAGCACTCAGCCAGGCAGAACGGGCTCCTGGGTGCCAGGAACAGGCACAGAAGGAAGGAGGGGCTGAGCAGCTTCTCTCAGGGGCCAGCAATGTGCCCCAGCAGCCTTGCGGAGGGATGCAAGGGGCTGTGAGGGCAGAAGGTGGGATTGGGATGCTCCCAGACTTCAAAGGGCAGCAAGGAGCTACTGTTCCCCCTCATGCACCCCTGTTCTTCAGCACGAGAGAGTCTGCCCCAAAAAAATACGAATGGTTTTGACCTGCAATGTTTGTCCCTTTTGTTTTTGCTCAGTTATACTTAGCTGCCCTGAGAAATCTCTTTTTACATGTCCTCCCCAGTCCTTGCTGTGATCCATGTCATCCTGGAGGCATGCAATAATTTAGACTGAAAGCTGTGCTGTGCAGCTCTGTTCTCCACAGCTTCACAGGATGGAGAAAGTATTGGCGTGCCCTGATTTATCTCCCACAGATGTCATCTCCCTAGGAGCTGACTTGAAGGACAGAGGGGCACAGAAAACTCAGTCTGGGTAGCACCTGATTCAGAAAGAAAGGAGGAGGAAATTTTATGAACTGGGTTGGATGGATGCAGGGAGCATTATAGCTTTGCAAACCTAACGATCCAAGAAGTTAGCACCATGAAACGCAGTGTTGCTGTGGCCAGGTGCAGGAGGGTGAGCCTTTAGGATGCCTTTATGTTTCCAAAAAGAATCTTGCAAAATTAGGAATATTTTTGCATCACTGTTGCTTGCTAAGAAGCAACGGCTTCTTTAATTGTCGTCCTCCATCAGACCTGGCCAACCTCTGAGGGTGAGATGAGGAAAGTGTTGTATTTAAGACATGTAGATGTGGCACTTGGCGACATGGTTTAGTGGTGGGCTTGGCAATACAGGGTTAATGGCTGGACTCAATGACCTTAAAGGTCTTTTCCAATCTAAACTATTCCATGATTCTTTGTTGTGGCTGTGGATGTCCCCACACAGTAAGCACAGATGCACTGTCAGGATGTGCCCAAGGAAACAGCACCCAGCACCAATGCTGAGCACACAGCTGGGCAGGGCAGAGCATGGATGCTGCAGGAATGATTGCATCCTCCTCCGTGGCCTAGGCAGCAAAAAGCAAAGCTCCCCATGCCCTTCTGCTGACAAGAGGTGAGGTATATTCAGCCACTGAAGTAGAGCGTCTTGTCTGGTTGTGTCAGGGGACTGTCCTTCCCTCAGCCAACATAGTCTAAATGGCCTCTGTGAGCTAGCCAGATAGATGTGTTCCATTTTAATCCTTATCCATCTCACTCTGCTGAGATCATTTACCTGCTAATAAGCTCCTGTGGTCAGAGATAAAAGGTGAAACTACCAGCCCTTAAAGGATGTATCTGAACAACTTTGCAGCACTTTGCTTCATGGAAAATATGGAAAGATGTTGCATTCATGATATATCACTCATATCTATGTTTGTAAACAGATTTGTCACACCATCTGCAGAATCGTACTGCCATCTCCTCTCCTCCATATTAATTTCCTTTCCATTTATATAGTACAGCTCCTATTTATTTTATTCTGTTTTTACAGTTAGATACATAAGACATCTCATTTACTTCCCTGCAAAAAGTGTGCAGTCTCTGTGGGAAAGAATATTTAATCAATCCGATTTTTTCAGTCTAGTGCATAAAAACACAAGCCAGGACTGTTTGGAGAGGTACCTACCTGGTTCTGTTTCTCATCTCTTCACATCTGTGTGGAGCAGGTGGGAGGGAAGGATAATTCAGAACAAATCCACTGGTAAACAGGATGCTCTGTCGGTGTTTCCTGTCTCCTGTTGTGCTGGTGGAGCTTAATTTTCAGGAATCAGCTAAGCCTCAGGTCAATAATGCTATTATAATTTCTCTGGCTTACTGTAGCTGATACAATATAATACAATACAAATACAATATGGTGAAGTATTTATACATCTGGGAGCAAAAAGCCAACCTGCTCTGTTATCTGATTTGATAAGAAATGTTTAGACGTGTTCAAATTTAAAAAGTGATTTGCTGAGTATAGAAGAGAAGTCGCAACAGAGAGAGGGAGCTTGCAGTTGGCAGCCACCTCTGCAGCCCCTTGTGCTGACCAGCAGCCAGGTCAGATGGTCCTGCCCCACACCAAAGGTCCAGCTTGACCCCAGGCACTGGAAAGGGGTGGCTGAGCTCAATACACATCATGGAGCAGGATTTGACTATAGGTCTGTAGGAGCACCTCTTCAGCCCCATGACTGTGAATTCACTGTGGTGAGAGGTGTAGGACACTGCCCCATCACCAGGGCTGTGACCCTGGGGCAGGGCACTCTCTCTTCTCTCCCTCCAGGGAGGGAGGATCTTTCTTCTTTGCATCGAGCCTAACCCAAATACCGAGGCTTGGGTACAAGGGAGGGACTGGGGTTGACTAATCCCAATAAGAATTTTACTGAGAGTGAGTAAGGGCTTTGGGCTGCAGACAGTGATGACAAATCTTAGAAACTCAAGCCTGTGCTTTGGCAGGAGGGTTTGTTGGCTGGGGTTTTTTTCTTTTATGGTCTTTTTATCACTTTTCAGCTGTACAGTGTGTTCTCAGATGGTATATCCACAACTTCATGTTTTTCAATTGTGGCCATCATTTTTTCAGCCAACAGAATAGGGAACAACCGGGCACTTAGCCAGCTTCTTTCTCATTGAAGCAAAAGGAAACTCTGCAAGGAGGTTTCTCTGGAGCTCTCTAAAGGAATCTTCTGTCACCGTATCCTGCTATCTCCTCCACCCCTCTGACCTCTCAATGCAGACTTTGATACTGTGAGCCGAGTGCCCCTTCCAGAGAGTCCCACCAACACCTTCTCTCTGGGAAATTGTTCAAATATCCTATCCCATGACACTTTGCATCTTTCCAAGAGGCATGTTTAGGCCTATAATATCATGCCTACCACAAATCAGTGAGCAAACCCTTTGGCTGTAAATATGCCAAGGTGTGTCTGCCAAAATGAGGTTTTGGATAAAACAGAAGCCGTGTGGCTCAGCTGTGGAGAAGCAACCAGGACCTTTTCCAACAGGGCAGTCCCCAGGAAAAATCACAAGGTAGGCTTTCAAATGAGATTACTTCCAATCAGCGTAAACCGTCCATCCTTTGTCTTGGCTGTCTGGCAAATAAAACCTTCCAGAGATTACTCAGTTTACATTTTTCAAGCCTTTTCTCTACTCACTGCAGGGCCAGAAACCCTTGTGCTGGAGCTGGGAAAGGAAAAAAGAGACTCTCCCATAATCCCTTCAGTCCCCTAAGTGCTGAGTTTTGGGGCCCAACTGGCCCCCAGGTTATTTTGAGCCCTGTGCAGGCTCAGCAGCCCAGGGGAACACAGGTCCTGTGGGCATGGCAGGGAGGAGAGGTCACGTCCGTAGATGGCTTTGGGTCCAGCTGGTTTATCCCCTTCTTGTTGGGCAAACTGTCGTCTCTGGGAGCAATTCAGCTCTAAAATGATTGCATGCAGTCCAAAAGGACTTGCATTGTATAACTAAATCACTGTGGGTCTGAAAAATAATAATCCTACCTAAAGCCGTAAAATCTGGTACCAAGAGTTACACTTGGCTTTACAGATTCTCTGTGCTGAATCAGCTCCTGACCCTCCTTGCTGCTATAACAGCTTGGCTGAACAGGCCATGCCCTCCAAGCAGATGAGCCATTGCTGCCCATCTCCAAAAAGGTGCTCTGCTGTTTTTTTCAGCCTCCTGCTCCCATCCCTGCGCTCACAACCTGTCGGGGCTCTCACATTATTATGCACAAACACCACGTTTGCAAATATATTTGTTATTACAGCAGACAGGAAGGGACTTAAGTGAGTGCTATAAAATTAACCTCAACATCAGTCAAAAGAAACAAAAGCAAAAAAAGAGCAGGGTAATTAGATGCTCTTATGAGCAGGATGTGCTCAGAATTACTTCTCCATCCCATTACAAATGCTTAGAAACTGCACAGCCTCTCCAGCACAGTGAGATTTTAAAGTGGTTTAATGGGAGTTTAGAGCTGATAATGCCACTTCCAACCTTATCCTTTCATTGCATGAAAATAGGTAGTGGCTATTGACTGGTGTAAATTGGCTACTTTTAAAGCTGTATTTGCTGGCTTGGATGTGCTAAAAGTCTCTCCATGAAGTTTTCAGACCCTGAATGTAGCATTTGTGTTTAAGGTGGGGATAATATTGAGTTTCTTCAATAGAGGGCTGGTTCCAGTGTGTTCTCTACATGCTGAAGATCTGGGACGTGCTGTAGTTGGGCTTCACATCCTGATCACTGGAGAAAAAACAGGGCTGCCGGGTAGTTTGTGCTCAGTCCAGACAAACGTCTCACTTTGTCTCTTCTTTTTTTCCTTCAGAACAAACTGTTCATGATGTCAATCAAAAAGGAAGGTGCCCACAAGAAGTGGGTGGCCCTGAAGGAGAAACTCGGACCCCAGGAGACTGATCAGTCAGAGGCCAACCTGGAAAATGCAGAGCCGGAGCTGTGCATCCGTCTCCTGCAAATGCCATCGGTGGTGAACTACTCCGGGCTGAAAAAGCGTCTGGAGAACAGCGACGATGCCTGGATGGTCCAGTTCCTGGAGCTGTGTGGGCTGGACCTCCTTCTGGAGGCCCTGGATAGGCTGTCTGGGCGAGGAGTGGCCAGGATATCCGATGCCTTGCTTCAGCTCACCTGCATTAGCTGCGTGCGAGCTGTCATGAACTCCCACAAAGGCATCGAATACATCGTGAGCAACGAGGGCTACGTCAGAAAACTTTTCCAAGGTGAGAAGACATCATCCTGCTTCATCCATCACGTGGCATGGTGGGGGGACTTTCCTTTTGCTTATCCTTCTGCCCTGCACCAGGCTTGTTGGAAATCGTTTGTCACAACGGATTAATGAGATTTTTCTGTTCTTTAAAGTAATATCACCATGAAATCACATTGCCTTTACCACCCAGTGCTGTTTCCACGCAAATATTGTCATAGTTTACTGAGAAGCTGGGGGTAAACCCAGCCTTAGCTATATGCAGGCATGACCCTTCAGTTGTCAGCAGACATTTGCTATTAAGTCTTTGTGAGCCCCAAGGGCAGAGGGAGACGAATTGAAAGGGCTTGGAGTCTGTAAAGAGGAGAGAAGGTGGTGTGGTTTAGACTCCAGAGAGCCTGTTCTCTGTTCTTCTCAGTCTGTTCTAGAAGATGGTAGGTAACACCACTTACATTCTCTTTCCATTCACTTGGCTCGTTGTTAGGTATGAAATGCATCAGGGCATCTCCTAGAACTTCTTGTACAGCACTTAATAGTGCTGGTGCCGGAAGGATGACTTCTGTGCTGCTCCACAGAGATCACAGCTGCGCCCAGAAACCCTTATCTTTTTAAAATGCATTTAGTCTGAAAGCTGGCTTGCTCCCCTCTTCAGTTTTGAAGTCCCCTTCTTTCCTCTTTACCCCACATTTTCTTAACCTTTGTGAAATATGGAGCTGACTTTTTATGCCCTGAAAAACGGGGGAGTATCCTGGGCTTTTCACTGTTTGAGCTTCTTTGTGTACTAATAAAGGAAAAATAAGATGGTCTAATCCTCTCCCTTCCAGCTCCCAGGGCTCACAGAGAAAGAGTAGTGGAAAAAGGGAATGCACGGGGACTGGTTAAAACAATTGGTCTAATTGATATGCATATTGGTCTCTTCTGCACTAAAAATAAGAGTCATTAATCGAGGAAAATGGTTCATCTGCTGTTCTAGAAAACAGCCATATGTGAAAATGGGAACTAAATTGTGTGATTGTGAGTGTTGAGATCTTGGCTGCTCTTTCAGCTTGCTACTGGGACATGGAAGAGATGAACAACTACAGGCTGCACCAAAATGCCAACAGGGTACCTGTGGCATTTACTGTTCCCACTAGAAGTTACTATCACATAATGCTATTGGGATGGGATATCTAGATACTGAGATATTTTTCTTCCCATCTTCCATGTACTGGGTCCCCTCCTTCTGTCTTTTTTCTACCACTGGTCGTAACCCATATAGCAGAAGACACTGAGAGTCATTTTATATTCTGCTTTGTTTTGTTCTGTTTTTCTTCCAGCACTTGACACAACTAATGTCATGGTCAAAAAGCAAATATTCGAGCTCCTGGCTGCGCTGTGCATTTACTCATCAGATGGCCATGCTTTGGCTCTGGATGCCTTGGACCATTACAAGGCAAGTGTTGGGTTGGAGCAGGAGGTATGGATCAGCTCCGATCCATGCAGAAAAGGGTGGGAATGAAGTTTATTTTGCATTGTTTTAGTAGAAGAAGCAGGGATTTATAAGGTGAAAACTGTAGGAAATTTGCCCTGCTCAGCAAATGTCTGTGGTGCTGTTCTGTGACTTGTCTGGACAGATGACTGCCAACCACAAGGTGTTTTCTGACAGCAAAAGCACCACCAGATCAGCAAAATAAATGGTGCCACATCCACAGTTTTCACTGCCCAAGAGCACGGGTACATGCATCAGTTATGAGAAAGCATGAAGGGATCCAAAGAGATGTTTCACTGACTTTCTCTGCCAAACGGTGCCTGCTCCATAATGTAGGAGTGCTGCTTTGACCTGCATCTTCCTGTCCTGTCCAGAGTGGGGATAAACTGAGGTTTTAAGGTGCTAATTCCATCTGAGAGCCTGCACCACAATGATAGACATTTAAGTCTATAGAGACTATTCTTGTCATAATATCACCTGTGTTATTAACAGAGTGTGAAGAACCAGCAGTATCGATTCAGCATCATAATGAACGAGCTCTCCAACACAGACAACGTGCCATACATGGTGACACTGCTGAGTGCTATCAACGCCATCATACTGGGGAAAGAAGAGCTAAGAACAAGGACACAAATCAGAAACGAATTCATAGGTAAGGATGTTTGTTGCACCTAACTTTCTCTGGAGAAAGTCAGTTGTCAAGCAGTTTTTATTTCAGAGATATCCACAAGGTGTCTGAACAGGGCTGGGGAGCAAAACTGCAAATACTAATTTTCCTCTTTCTTTTGACCTCTGTTCTCCACAACCTTTCTGTCACCAGATTTTTTTAATTTTGCTGCTTTCCCATAGCTTTGATCTTTTCTGGAATCCCAGCATCACTGTATCTCTTGAGCTTCTTCAGAACATTTCTATAACAATCTTATATCGCCACATTTCCATGTATTGCAACTCCCTGTAACAGTAGCTGAGCCATAGAAGCTGTCCCGTGACTCAGAAATTCTTTCCAACTGTTTGAATCCTGGGATCTTAGGTACCATTGTTGGGATTCACCTCATGTAATGGGAGCATCTGAGCTGATGAGCCTGGGCTCCATTTCTTTCTGTGGAGAACAAGGGACACGGGACCATGACTGATTTTAGATATCAAATTTGGGTTGAGGTCATTCATGTCCCAGAAGTGCCTGTGTCCCTCAGTAACTCCATGGGGATTGTGGTTCACACAGTTGCTGCAGATGTGTGTTGAGGTGTCCCATCATTAACCAGATGACCCTACCCACTTTGGCAGATCCATATGAAGATATTTTCACTTTTTTCTCTCTGCAAAATATATTTATAAGCATAACATATATAAAGATCACAGTAAATCAGTACCAGATAGGTCATAATGCAAATATATCTATTTTATTTTTGTCCTTCCAGGGCTTCAGCTGTTGGATGTTTTAGACAAGCTAAGGTAAGGATCATTGGTTACATTTATTTTATGAATGAGATTCACGGTGAGGTAGCTGTGAAAACTTAATACTTATAAACCTTCAGTTGCGTGAAGTGCACTGCGCTTGGGTGGAGTGGACCACTCTTGTGTGCACCCCTTACAGGGGACCAAAGGCATTCAGGCAGTGTTAAGATGCTCTTGCCAACCACAGTGTCACAGGGACAGCTGTTGGCACAGATGGCACGGACAGAGGCTCTGGGCACAGATGGAGTAGCGATGTCCTCGTTGAGGATGTGTTTCAGACTGAGCCTGGAGCAATGCTGTGGGCTCACTGAGCAGCTCACTGTATTCAAAACCACTTCACTGCTGCTGTTGGTCCCAGAAGCACCCATTTACAAAAACAATTTGCTAGTGCGCATCTGGGCATAATTTAAAAATTATGTTCTGTCAGAAGCGTCCGTGATAAATTCTAGAATGCATTTTATGTGAGTTGCAGTTATCCATGTAACTGGAATTGCTCCATCCAGCACCATAAAAATTAGGGAAGAGAAGACAATAGTGTATCAACGGTGAAGTTCTTACACAGAGTGGTTTCAAGAGTGTTGAAAAAGTTAGTTTTAGAATATCTGGGGTTTTTTAATCAAATTTTGAGTAACAGGGAAGAAAGTTTTTCAAACAGAAAGATCACTGGAATATTTTCAATTCGTCTTGACCTTAAAAAAGAAAGAAGGTGGCCCAGTTTCAAAAAGGTGGGAATGCCACTCTATTGTTACAGCTCCAAGGAGAATTCCATAGCAAGCATACACTAGGCCAGGTTATGCCATGGAAAGTCCCATTCGTTTGTATATGTTGACTGTAGGAAGAGGTATATTCAGTTCAAGAAAGGATGCACTGATGGCATCTGATCCTTTATAAATTTGGGCACAGTTGGGTACTTCGAATACTGACTGGCTGAGTCTGAGAGGCAAAGAGATAAAAACCATTTAAACGAAAACAATCATCTGAAAATTAGTGAAGGGCTCTCCAGTGAAAACGAGTGCTGTAATATTGCAGAGACATCGAAGAGGAGGATCTGCTTATCCAGTGTGATACATTTGAGGAATTCAAGGTAGAAGACGATGAGGAGTTATTAAAGATGTGTGATGGCATAAACATGAATGATCATCATGAGGTCTTTTCATCTCTCTTCAATAAAGTAAGTAGGCCCTCCCATGGGGTGCAAAGTCACACGATGGCAAAGTTAACCCACTTTGCTTGGAACCAGCCTTGCTGTGATGGAAAGCTGCCCTCTCTTCCAGGTGAGCCGCTCTCCAGTCTCCATCCAGCTGCTGTCCATCCTTCAGAGCCTGCTGCACTTGGAACCATCTCATCAGTCCAGCCTCCTGCTGTGGGAGTCCTTGGATGCCGTAGTGAACAGAGCCCTTTTGCTTGCAAATGACAGTAAGAATGGCATATCCATCCAGCCTTGCAAACTCCTCTTGTTTTACCTTGTCCCACCCACAGCCCACAACAATCTTTCCCAAATGCACAGGAAATAGTCTGTGGGACTCGGTAAGAGCTGAACAGAAGCTGGGACAAAGCTACACCTCCTGTACAGGGTCAAGTCTTGATGTGAAGCTCCAGCCATGTGGGATGGCCACATTTAGGAGTGGGCTTGGGATTCATAGTCTTGCTTTCATGGTTAATCCTCTGAGCTTTGGGTCGTGGGAGTCATTGGGAATCTGTCCTCCTTGGCATGCTGCCACTGGCACTGGCTTGTCTTGCTGGCAGGCTTTTTCAAAACAGCGTTTGTGGGCTGGGAGCCTGGGAAGGAAATTGCCTGGAAGCCAAAAGTGTAGCTGTGCAAAGCGACACCACAGAGTGGGCTCTGTGGCTCCAGGTCTGCTGCTTGGTGAGGGTTGAATAGCACGAACCAGACCAGCCTTGGGGCCCCGTTCCCTCCTCTGACCCTGACTCCTTTCCCTAGTTCAAGGGAACACAGTTGAAGAAGTCATGGAGAGGCTGCTGTCTACCAAGAAACATCCGAACAAGCAAAAGCGAGCTGAGAACCGGCTGTCTGGGAGTGCAGCTGGAGGCGCCCAGGGTGAGCCAGAGCCATGTGCACGTGCAGCCCGGGGTCCAGTGGGATCATCAAACCCCTCCAAGGCACCGACAGCATCCTCAGGGCCACTTGCCTGCGAAAAGAAGATCTCATCCTGCCAGTTCACAGGCTGCTCTGCTTCGCCAGAGATGTCTAACCCTCCACATAACACTGGATCCACCCCAGCACCTCCACCCCCACCACCTCCGCCCCCACCCTCTGGCACAGTAGCCATGAACCCCACATCCCTGATGACGAATACACCTCCAGCCCCTCCACTCCCTGGCATCCCTCCACCCCCACCCCCACTGCCTGCCATGGAGGGTATTCCCCCTCCCCCACCCCCTCCATTGCCTGGCATGGTGGGCATCCCACCTCCTCCACCCCCATTGCCTGGCATGGGTGGTATCCCACCTCCTCCACCCCCATTGCCTGGCATGGGTGGTATCCCACCTCCTCCACCCCCATTGCCTGGCATGGTGGGCATCCCTCCTCCCCCACCCCCATTGCCTGGCATGGGTGGTCATCCCTCCCCCTCCCCCTCCTTTGCCTGGCATGGGTGGCATCCCACCCCCTCCACCCCTCCTGCCTGGCATGGCAGGAGATCACATAGAAGCTATGGTGGCCTCCCAGTTCAGCTGCCCTCTTGGCATGGGCCGGCCTCCCCGCAAGGCGGTGAAGACGCCAACGCTGAGGATGAAGAAGCTGAACTGGCAGAAGTTGCCCTCTAACGTGGTGAGAGGTGAGTGGCATAAAGTCACAGCTGCTGTAGGGGTGACCCAGGGAGGAAACACTCTCCTTGAGTTTGTCAAATGTGGTTGACTCCATTTAGATACAGAACTTTCCTGATTTCCTTTACTTTTGACCTGCAGAGGTTAAATAAATAAAAGTAGTGTGGAACTACTAGTATAATACAGTAACCATTGCAACTAAATCAGTACTTCGGGATAGCTTGTTTATAACTAAAATAGTTGGAAATTAAAAGAAAAGAAAGGAAGATGGGAATATTTCCCTAATCCACCATGACATGCCTTAGGCCTGAGTCCTCAACAGGCTCTGATCTAAGTTCCCCAAACTTTCATTCCCCACTTCATCTATACTTGTATGTTGGAATATTAAAGTCATGAGTAAGAGTGCATTTGAGGATCACATCCTATATCTCTTGATTTTTGGGTTACATTTCCCTCTCCCAGTGGATGCAAAGAGGAGCATGAAACGTGAGAAGAAGCCAGGACAAGCAGTGTCAGCTTTGTCCTAGACAAGCAAGGCATCCACTGCATAGAAGCAGGCAAAGGTGAAATCTAAATAAGGCATGTTTTCAATCACAAGAACAGTAAATTGTTGGGATTATTTCAGTGGAGACTTCCAGAGGCATGTTAGGGTGCTGATTGTTTTTTAAATACATCTTAAGAAAGTACGGTGGAAATTCATTCAAGCAGTCCCATAGCCAGCATTGTACAAGAAGGTTCAATTATAACATGATAAATGGAGAAGGTCAGAGTCAGAAAATGTCCAGGTTGTGCCCAGTCCCTCAGTTAGGATGCAAGGAAGCAAAAATAACATCAGCCAGGGGACTAAAAAAGAAATGTCCAAGCTCTCCCTTATGTGGACCCAGTTTGCCCACCGTGAAGGAAAATGCAGTTGTAGAGGGAGGGATGGGGCTGTGCAGCCTCTGTGTGCCCAGTGCTGCCTCCCCTTACCAGCACATCTTGGGGTAAAGCACCAAGTTTAATTGCCCTTCAGGCCCTTTGGATCCCACCTGTGAGAATTGCCTCTCCTCAATAATGACCATTTATCTTATTTCATTTGTCTTCTGAGGAGTGTCCCTTCTAGCAACTCACTCTGCCCCAAGAGCCAGTCTGAACACTTCGTCTCTTTTTCAGAGAGTCACTCCATGTGGGCTTCGGTGAGCAGCAGCAGCGAGGAAACTATAGAACCCAACTACACCAGCATAGAGCAGCTGTTTTGCTTTCCACAACCAACCCCCAAGGAGAAGACAGCCGCCCCCGTGAAGGCGGAGCCAAAGGAGGTGAGGAGGTCCCACTCGTTCTTTTGAGTAACGATCACTGCAGACAGCTCATCTAACGCGAGATATCTTCTTTTTCTTTAATGAAGATCACATTTTTGGACTCCAAGAAAAGTCTCAATTTGAACATATTTTTGAAGCAATTTAAATGGTAAGATATGGGTCAGTTTTCGTGATAGTTGACAAAACTTTGAGCAGGTTTTGTGGTATCTGGAAGGTCCTCACGAAATCTGTTCTAGCCAATGTGCTTTGGTGGTCCATGTTACTGAATCATCTGAACATTCCCAGCTGGTCCTACACTATCTTTAAAATACTGAGTTTAGAGGTTTAGTTATGTTTTTACATACAACAGTGTTGTATGTTGGCAAAGGCATTACATTTCCATTTTACAGATAAAGTTGTGGCACAGATTCTTAGGGTGACTTAGGCTGTGAGACACATCTGGAAGTCAAATCCCTCCTCAAAACAGGTCCAATGGACAAGTTAAGAATTGAATTTCCTCTTAAGTTAATAAAAAATGCCCAGAGACAGGATCTGGAGTTGCAGGATTCATCTCTGGCCTGGAGTCACTTGACCAGGGCCAGAAACAAAATTTGGGTCATAGCAGAGATCCAGGTCCTAATTCTAATTTAATTATGGGGAGGTATCTTTCCTTTTGGATTATTGTGGCTCTCACTAGGGAAAGCACAGAGTGCTTGCACTGATAAAAGTCTTGGTAGTATGTGGTAGTGAAAGAGTTCTTTGGGTGATGGCTGCCTCTGCTCCTCCTCCCTGCAGCTCCAATGAAGAGGTGACTGCCATGATCCAGAATGGGGACCGGACCAAATTCGACGTTGAGGTTCTGAAGCAGTTGCTGAAGCTGCTGCCTGAAAAGCATGAGGTCAGGAGGAAAATGGTACCCTTACCAGAGGTTCACAGAGCTGAACACACAGTGCAGTCCTGCAGCCTTAATTCTTTATTTCCCATTAGATAGAAAACCTGAAGGCCTTCAAAGAAGAGAAATCAAAGCTAGCAAATGCAGATCAGTTTTATCTCCTCCTCCTTCAGATTCCCAGGTAAGGATGTTGGTCATGAACTTCAGCCCAGTCTTTTTCTTGGTTTACCTCTGGGAAGTTTAAGTTTCTTTATAGGAGCCTCACAGACCAACACTGAGGGGTATAACTGGATTCCCTCTTCCACCTCAGAGCTGTCCCTTTCCCTATTAGCCTCAGATGGAGAGCTCTTCCTGCTCCAGCACCTTCTCTCCCTCTGAAGTAGCAGAAGCTGATCCAGACCCAAGGAGGCTCCATAACTTACTGAAAGGCAGTGCCAAATGCCATGCCAAGAAGGGGGAGCCCGTCTCTCACACGGTGGTCAGTCTTCTCTTTGCTGATCACAGTGTGTCAGCAGAATCTACATCCCCACTGGCCCTCAGGGCGAGGGGCAGCTCTTCGCCTCCCTCTGCAAGCAGCAGACAATGTTTTGATGTGGATGTGGTTGGCAGCAGTGCTGTGGGCTGGCATGGACTTGCTGGTGGTGTGGGAAGAGGGCTGCTGTGGTGCCCAAGATCCCAGTTTCTTTACACTGTGAATCAATCTCCATCCTCAGCTACCAGCTGCGCATTGAGTGTATGCTGATCTGTGAAGAGACCACTGTCGTGCTGGACATGATTCAGCCCAAAGCTGAAGCCATCAGGAGAGCCTGCGAAGGTAAGTGACCTGAGCTTATTTCTGGATCTGATTCATGACAGGAAGCTTTAATCCCCACCCAAACTCCCCTGGAGCACTGCACTGTTAACCCCAAACTGGAGCTCTGCAATATTACTACCCAATCCCCAAAGAACTCCCCTGTGGTCCATTCACTGGTTCGCTGCAGCACATGAGGTGCAGCAGTAGGTACCAATGATGGTCAAAGCCCTTAACAGAACCAAAGATCATTTTCCCCTATCCTCAGCCCTCTTTTTCTGCAGCAGATGTATTCCTCTGAAACAATGGTGAAGTGCTGGAAACTTGTCGGCCCTTTCAAAGGAGCTGAATTTAGAAAGCAGAGCTGGCCCCATTGCATCTAATTCATCCATCCAGCATTATTTGCCAAATTAAGACCTTCGTACAGCAATTTTCTCTGCTGCCAGAAAAGCCCACCCCAAACTTCCCCCAGAAAGTAGTGGTGCTTTAATATTTCCCTGCCTACAAATGGAACCAGAAGAATAAATTTGTTATTTTGGGTTATAAAACTGCTGATGCTCAAATTTGGCGAGTACATGGGGAGATTATGCAATAATAGGTTTTGGCTTCCTATGGCAGAAACCTCTGGTCCCACTCCACTGAGAGCAGGATACTCTTCTTGGCACTGTCAAAGTGTTACCTGTCCTAAAGAACTGGTTCCCCCAACTCCTGCTGTGGGTCTCTCCAGCTAGCATTACAGCTGCTTGCTGGGATAAACTGAAGCTTTCCCAAAAAGTGTCTTCCCAGCAGCCCAGCTGTCCTTTTGGAGCTGCTCTTGACTCAAAGCTGAGTGCTTCAGAAAGCACACTGCAGCAGCACCCTGCCATAAGAGCGAGGACAGGGACTGTACCCTTCATGCCCAGGTAATGATCACCTCCATCGTGCGAGGCCAAGAACAGGGTGAGAGTGTCTGGTTTTAGCAGCTGGCAGATAATCACAGGGCTGTCAGAGCTGGCTTCACTGCACAGCTGAATGGAGTTGGCAGGATTAAATTTGCAGCCCAAACACTGGGGCACTTCCAAAGAAGGCAGTGAGTTGAAGCCTGTAAGTGAGGAGGGTCCAACTCCAGGTTATTTGTTGTTAGGAAGGAGAGACCAGATTAAAGACAGAAACATAAGTCAACAAAAGCTTGTGCAACCTGTGGAATTGAATCTATTTAAACCAGTTTCTCTGCAGGTTGGGCCATTGGGCTGCAAAGCTGAAATACCAGATTTGATTCAGTGGAATTCAGAATCCCAGTTTCAGTACAGTGTAGGAAATGTTCTGGTGTAACAGAGGCTTTTGCTTAAAAGTCCTTTATGTTTTTCAGATCTTCTGACCAGTCATCGCCTGCCGCTCTTTTGCCAACTGATTCTCAAAGTTGGAAACTTCCTGAACTACGTAAGGGCTTCTTTTGTCTTGCCCTCACCCATTACAGTCTGTGAATGATCTCCTTTAGGGTTGTAATTTGGGTGGACACGAGTTACCTGTGCTTTCTTTCTCTTTTGTAGGGAAGTCACACAGGCGATGCTGACGGGTTTAAGATCAGCACTTTGCTCAAACTAACAGAAACCAAAGCAAACCAGACCCGCATTACGCTGCTCCACCATATTCTAGAGGTACCACTGCCAAGTCCTGCACAGTAGGGAAGAGGGAGGTTTTATTATAGATGAACCATTTGTCCTACTCCCAGTTAATGCCATATGCTCGTACTCATACCCTCCCTGGCTACCCACAGAATGTCACAAGTCAGGAGCGTTTGAATCACTTTGGCTGGTGGAGGTTGCTTGTTGTCACTACTCAGGAATCTCCTCAAGACTTGCTCTGATTCCCTCCATCATCTTTCCCCACAGTGTCTGGAACTTCCTTTTTCATATTTGTGCAATCTGCACATCAGCAGCCGCAAACCACAGAGCACATGGCTGCCAAAGCTGTCCCTGGCTCATCTGTACCCATTCAGCCTTTCTGCCTTTCCACGGCCTCTCCCTTTTCCATCAGACTATGCTCAAGCTTTTCATGCTACTTTTTAAGGTCCTGTGACTTTCTTACTCCCTGCAATGCTGTTTTTACCTTTTTTCTGAATGCTCTGCTATGCCACTTTCATTCATCAAGGTCCCTCTGTTCTGGCTATACATGTTCAAGCACCACTTTAGCTGGCAGTAGCTTCAGCAAGGACAGCTGAGAAAGTGAAGGATGTAAATAAGATTCAAGGCCTTTTAGTACCCTCCTGGGACCGTAGGAAGTGTCAGACTGCATCAAAGTCCTGCCTCCTCCCATGCTCAAGAGTAGGTGTCTCAGAAAAGGGCAAAAGAAGAGCTTAGCTTTGCTTTGAACTATGAGTATTTCTCAGGGTTCTGTGCTCTTGTATGTTTTTATAGCCCAGAGAAATGCTTTTCCTCTCCAAATGTGCAAACTACAGACAGCTGGGCAGCAGCAGGTCATGGCACAGTCATCCTTCCTGGAGACTTCTGCCTCTGTTCCTTCCCCCCAGCTTCCCCTCAGCTCCTGCCACACAGCAAATAACTCTTCTTTCTCTCTTCCTCTTCAGGAAGTAGAAAACAGCCACAAGGACCTACTGGAACTGCCAAAGGATCTTGAATATGTTTCAAAAGCAGCAGGGTAAAATTGTGTGTCACTTCCTTTTAATTAAAAACAAAAATAAATCGCATGCACATCAACAATATACCAGAAATTAGGACACACACAGCTGGCATAGCAAATTAACAAGATGGCATCTTATATAGTTTGAACCAAAAGATTTGGTTGATGAATGTTGAAAGCCCTTTAATATATAATAATTCTACTACAGCTGGCAACACTTAGGGCTGAAATTTGCAGAGCATTCAGTTAAAGCTGCCTTCCATACCCTTTCAAAATGTTCACTGCCTTTGTGGTAGCAGGAGTTTGTGAAGGTCAGCTACCCAGAAGCATTCTGAAGTGCCTTTGGCCAGGGGAAGTGAGCTAATGCTGAGCACTCCAGGTGGAGAACAGTGCTGTGAAGAGGTGGACTTTTTTCGGCCTTCTATCCAATACACAAAGTTTCAGGTAGACCTGACAGTCTTTCCACAAGTGCTGTGGAAGGAAGCTGTTTTCCATGAGCTTGGACTGTATAGAGAGTTCAGAGCTCAGGTTTCAGTTCAGTGAAGTGGTGGGAAGTAGAGGGACATCCAAACCACCAGCTCAGACTTGCCCACTCTTTGGTCAGCACGAGATGCTGGAGTGTCAACTAATGGTGGGGTTCTGTATGATTTCAGAATTAATCTTGATATCATACGCACGGAGTCCGGTACCAATTTAAAGAAGTTGCTGGAGCTTCAGCGGAAAGTCTTATCATCAAATGATGATGTGAAACAACAGTACGAGAAACCAATCCAGGTCAGTAATGGAGCTCACTTAGATCTCCCTCCTTACACACTCAGAAGCTGTGCGTGGTACATTTGCAGCTGAGGAGGCTCATGAGAGGAGGGGAAATACTGCCACAAGACACGCTCTGAGATTTGGAAATAGGCTGCAGTGCCACACAAACCATTGCTGTGCATTTGCCAGCTCCGCCCCAAAACAACATACCTTTGGTGAGGCCATTTCTTGAGGTGCATGCCCCAGCTGCTCTGTCCATGCTTTTGTGTGACTTCTCACTTGAAGATGTTCACCCTCTGTGGGGATCACCAGAGTAAAGCCCTTTGCTCAGGATTAAGCTTTGCATGGAGCTTTCCATGTCCTGCTCAAGCCAACCCTGTAAACTGGCACAGGCCAGTTTGCCAGGAGCAAAAATCATCTGCAAATCTTTGTTTCTTCCCACCTGCTTCCAATAAGTTCTGCTGCAGTTAAAAGGCAGGACCCAGAGTCCTGCTCCAAGCTCCTATATTCTTTCTCTGCAAGTGCACTTCACTCCTCGTCCTCTGGATGGTGTTTTACTGTGTGTATTTAATGTGTTTCAGGATAGCATTGATGCCTCCAAAAAGCTGGAAGAAGAATTTGAAACCATTGAAAGGAAGAGAGAAGAACTTGCAAATTACCTCTGTGAAGACCCAAGCAAGTTGTCCTTAGAGGACATATTTAGCATCATGAAGACCTTCAGAGATCTCTTCATCCGAGCCCTGAAGGTTGGCATGATGCTGAGCATCCCTAGTACTGGCACATCCTCCACTGCAGTAGCCAGGCATGGGATGGGCACCAGAATCTGGTGGAGGGAAAATGCTGGTTATGGGCTCCTCCTTTTGGCACTTGGTGTGAGGCACCCAGTGAAGCACTGTCTGAACCCTTCTCCACTGCATCCTCATGCAGTGCTGGTGCTCCTGACCTGGCCCATGCCCTGGTGATTTGGGATTTTGGTGCAACTTTGGCTGCAGAATGAGAAAGATACTTTTGGGCCAAACGTGAAAATTTTAGAGGAAGGTAAAAACTTGTAAAACTGAACCCTTTGCTTCAACCTGAGCTAACAGGCTCAGAAAGGGTACATGTAGTAAAAAGCCACCCGTTTTGAGAAAACTGTGGATTCAGTATTTTCCACTTTAACTTCAGCGAAAGGTTAGACAGAAGACGAGCACACTGGTAGGTGGCTGTGTTAGGCATATCACCACTGCCACCTCCAACTGGGATGTGGCAGAGTCCTGGCCAAGCCAGCAGGCCCCTCTCACCCTCTTGGCAAAACAGCCCTTATTCCCAATGCCCATTACATTTATTGCACAGGATAAGGCCAGAATTTTTCCTCCTTTATCTATAGATCTTCTTTCTCTTCATCAGCTTCTAGCAGACGTTTAGCCAACCTTCTCATGCCCCTGTTACCTCACTGCAGGAAAACAAGGACAGAAAGGAGCAAGCTGCCAAAGCAGAGAAGAGGAAAAAACAGCTGGAAGAGGAAGAGGGGAAGAGACAAAAGGGAGAAAATGGAAAAGTCAGTGAGTATCTGAAATGGCTTCAAAAAAGAGAGATGGAGCCATAGAAGCTCTTTGCTGGTCCTGCTTTAATGGACTAGTAGTGGCAATTTATTTTGTGGGTTTCCAGGTGCCAGCTGACTAAAGGCTTTTAGGTGTCTTAGAGCCATAGCTAAGAATTGACTTTCCACTGTTGCAGCTGGGCAGAGAAGTTAATTTTAGGTTTGCTGACTGAACAGCAGAAGAAAAAAAAAAACCACAAATTAAAACATTTCAGTTAACTTTTTCAGTTTCTAAACAACTTTTGAATACCAAATCTAACAAGAAATTTGTCTTCTCCTCCAAGATCCTTGTACACACTTGAATAATTTCTCTTTATCACAGACTACTGATGTCCCAAAAATCTTGCATATAGCTTTTATAACTTTCATCTCTGGATGAAAACGAAAGACTGAAAAAGACGATTGGAAGAAGCTGAGAGGATAGAAATATAAAATTTATTTTCCCTCCAGAAAAAAAAAAAAAAAAGACCCCACTAACATGCATAGGAAACAGGGAAACTTTGGAATAAATGCCTTTTCTTCATGCAGGGCACACTGCTGTGGGATCACAGAGCATGAGCTGCTCCCAGGCCTGATATTGGTGCCTTGCTCTTGCCCAGTGGTTGCTTGTACTGGGACAGCAGTACCCACCCCATGGGCAATTTTAACACCCATCTCTCTCTCTCTCCCAGTTAAGAAGGGTTTGGGGAAGCAGGACGAGGTGTGTGTCATCGATGCACTGCTAGCCGACATCAGGAAAGGGTTCACACTGAGAAAGACAAAGAACAGACATGAGTCAGATGCAATTCCTAAACCCTTGTCTGAGGAGAGCCCGGAGGAAAGCCAGTCTGGTAAGGACACAGACCTGACTGTACTGCAGCTATTCATTCCCATCTGCCTCTGAGCCTGAGCCAAGCACGCACCAGCAAGAAGCCTTTGCATTTGCATTTGGGGCATTTTATTTAGGAAGGCTTTGCAGCCAGTGCTGACGAGAAGAGGAGCACAGAGCCTTGAGCTGTTGCCAGACAGATCTGTTCCAGTATTAGCAGGAATTTGGAGCAGTATGGCCTTGCACCTGTGCTGATGAGCCCTCTGAGATGCTTGATCCATGTGTCAGCCACAGCACCATGCTGATGGGACACTGGTGTCATCCCCACACAAGTCCCCTCCACCCTGTTGAGTCTCAGTGTGTCACTTCCTTGGAGTCTGCTGCACCCCATCCTAGTCTATGCTTGGGAATCTGAAGAAGCCCTTAGAAAGATTAGAAACCCTATTTGCAGAAGTACCCAAGTTCTTTATGTGCTTGTGAGGAGACAGCCCATGGGTTTAGCTTTTCTTTGGTCTCTTGACCTCAGTGTTAGAGCACAGTAGGTAAGTCCAAGGACATTGGTCTGCCATAGAGCCCATGGCTTCCCTAGACCTGTTCTGCAAGGGCAGGATTAGGCTGGTTAATGGGCAGCTCTGAAGTCCTCACACAGCCAAGCCAGCAGTCCACTCTGGTTCAGGACCTTGCAGGTTCTCGCTTCCTGCCACAGACTTTCAGGCCTCCTTGCAATTCCAGGAGCTTCCATGGAAATCAGTCAGTTGGCAGCAAAGACACACCTGATGAAAACAAAGCGGGGCCTTTGCTGAGCTGGAGCCTTGTAGTCCAGCCAGGGTGACCACACTGGTATAAGGGGGGAGGTACAGGGAGGATAAACTAGTGCTGCCTCTGCATAGGTGCTTTAGGATCAGTGCTCCCTCCACAGGCAGCTGCTTACCTGTAACCTCTCCAGTGGCAGAAGCATCTTGGTTGATCCCTGGTGCAGCTCAGCAGCTGTGGCTGATTGCATGTTTTTTGTTTAAAGGAAAGAGCATTAAGGATCCACAAGCAACAGGGAAGCAGATGAATGATCAGACCAAGCAAAACAAGAATGGCCATCCCTCAGAAAGCACTCCCCCCTCAGCCACTGCCCTGATGGAGATGGATGGAGGTGTTACAGATGCTTCAGCTTCAAACCAGGTGTTACCTAAAAACAACACTGGAGGAAGTTTGCCGTTGGAGTCCCAGACCGAAAGCCCGTCCGTGAGATTGGTGGAAGCTGATGGGGCTGGTCAGCTTGTGCCTGGCACTGGGACGGAGCAGACAGACAACTGGGCAAGCCTCCAGCCGAGCACAGAGGGCAGCTCCATTACCTTCTCTTTGGCTGACACAGGCACGAGGATAAGCTTTGTGAGCAGCAGTTCAGCCACTGCTCTGAGAGACCAGCTCAGCTGGACTAATGGGTCCCTCTCAGAAGGCCAGGACAAGGAATGCCCAGCTGATGGCTCAGAGAGCTACAGGCTGGCACAGGAGCCAGAACCCCAGCTGAGCAAGACCGGGACGGACCCCGGCAGCGCTCCCTGCAGTGAGGCTCATCAGGCAGAGTCAAAAGAGATGACAAAGGAAAACGAAGACCCTGGTACAGACTCGCTGTTGGACACCTCTCAGGAGAAGTCCTTCTCAGAGGAGCCAGCCACTGACTCCTCTTGTTCAGCAACACTTCCCCCAGAGCAAACTCACACCGACAGGGAAAAGCAGAGGCCACCTGGGAAACGAAAGAAGAAGAAGAGGCACAGCAAAAGCTACTCAGGTAGCCTATGTCATAAATAGCCCTCGGGAAGTGACTTCAGTGTGAGAGCCCTCCTCAGATATTTGTATATAGCTGTTCCTCCCCACTTCAAGGCCCAATGCCACCTGCCCCTAGAGCCACACTGTCTCGTGGAGCTTGTTATTTTTTAAACCTGAAAAAGCCAAGCATAGTTCATTCGCTTGACATTTATAAGTAGTTTATAAACGGGTAATGATGAATCAATAATTTAAAAGCCCATTACACATACGCAGTAAAGATGGCAATAAGCACATCTGTCAAGTGTGCTAAAGACAGCTACAAGGCATGGTTATGTGCAAACAAGAGCTTCATTAGGCTCCAGAGCAGTGATTAAGAGCATTTAATACTCAGTACTTAATCAGCGATGGCCCCCTCTGAACTACTTATAAACACATAAAGGCAGCAACATCAGTGCTGCCATGGGGTTGTTTGGTTTTTCCCCTGCTAAGCCTCCTTGCAAGAGCACTTTGCCTGACAGCGTGCCCCAGGGGTACTTTAAGTAGCTGCTAAACATCAGGCCCTCAAACCATTACTGCAGGGTGAGGGGAAAACTCATTAAAAGTCATTAAAAAAGAGCATCTTGCTGATGCTTCTGCAAAGGACCCTGTTTGACCGGCCAAATTGGGCTGCCCTGCTGGTGTTGGGAGAGGGCTCAGCTGCCAAAGCCTCACAGGTCTCCACCTCACAGCAAGAGTCCACAGCCAGTCCCGAAACTGGGAAGAATGTCCCAGTGCTTTGGACTATACCGAGCTGAAGCCACCTTTGGGTGGCTAATTAATCCCAAATTAGAGACACCTCATAGAGAAGACATGTGGGTCTGTCAGCCTTTAGAAAGATACAATATACTGTCCAAAACCTGTATCCTGAAAGATCCTGGGGTCAAACAAATAGGCATGAAAGTGGGATAGTCTCTTTTTATCAATGTTTAGTGTTTTTCCTTCCAAGGGAAGTGGAAGAGAAAGGAAAGAATGGTTTGAGCACCCATTTCTGAGAAAGACAGCATGGGTAGAGCAGCAACCACAGACGACTTACCTTTTAATGCAGCATACCCCAAGGCTGTAGTTATTTACCTTTCTAAACCTGACACTTTCCCCTAGTTAAAAACAAGCCACAAAATAGAAGTGGTTTCCTAGAACTTGCTTCCCAGGAGGCAGCAGGAGGAGCTGCAGCAGCAGGAGCATCCCATGCTCCCAGCCCTGGCGATGTTTTCCTGACACCTGACATTAGTACTTCTGTCTTAAGACCCCATCCTGCAAAAGCCACATGGTTCCCTGGGCATCCAGGGATGGCATCAGAGGGGTTGGAACCAGGTGGTCTTTAAGGTCCCTTCCAACACAAACCATTCAATGATTCCATGTTCCTAGGAACATCTCTGCTATTAGACAGCGTTTTCATCATAAAAAGTTCCCTGTTACCTTTGCCTTGCCATGACCAGATATATTTAGTGTCTCTCTTTTGTTTAAAAGCAGAGGTTGAGAGTGATACTGGAGATAATAAAACAAAAAAAGGTTGTGTGACACAATGAGGTATGTAAACTCACAAAGGTGTTTTTATGTGAACTAACCACTGCATTGGGACTTCACAGACCTAATCAGTATTCAGCAAATCAGCTAAGCTTTTTGTCTTTGTGTCTAATCACAAATACATGTGAAATAAATTTGTTACTCTGATTTTTACTCTCCAGGGTGTTGATCTTGCGTTGAGTGGAGTCAGTGCTGACCTCCCTTCGACACAAGATCACAGCCCACATGTTCATCCTCTGTGTCAGCAGCAACCAAACTGCCTTTCCCTGCAAATAATTAAAAGTCATTATTCTAACCAAGTAATCAAACCTCTCGTGATGAAAAAAGTCCTTGCTTTGATCCCATTATTTTCCCAAAAACTGTAAAAATGCAATTTCAGTACTTACCTCCGGCTAAGAACGGTTGGTTTGCTGGTGGGTAACCACTTTCTGCAGCACTATTTAAATATGGCTATCTGGAAAAGGGAATAAAACACTGGACTCAGGGACAAGTACCTGTTGGGGCAAGATACCAGCTCCCACTCAAAGCTAAATTCGACTCCAGAGTTGCACACAAGTTCCCTGTATCCTTCACTGATGCTGGCAACATATGGTTGCCCCTCAAAAGGAGTTTCAGGATGAGACTCTCATTTGCAAAACTTTGTCTGTTTTTACAGCAAGTGGAAAGAAAAGCAAGAAAAAGAACCAACCGAAACACTCACTGTACTGAAATTGCATAGTTATGCGTTGCCCTTTCCATGCTGATGAGCATCTCTTATGAACTAAATCAATATTGTCAAATTGCTCTTTGTCTCATTTCCTCAAAGGAATGTATTTATTCTCCAGCATCCCCAGTTCCCTGGGGCTGGGAGCCCAGCTGGGAGCTCTGCTCCCACACAGCCCATCAGCCCCAGCCCCTGGGATGGCAGCACAGAGGAACCTGTGGAGGATTTCCCCACAGGACTGCTTTTGTTCATGCACCTGGATTATCATTTCTAGCAAGAGAAAATGAGATATACATTGGGTAGTTGCAGTCCTGACTACTCCTGCCCTCGTCTCAGCACTTTCTGTGCAGTACCACAGGATTACATTAACTGGAAGTAGCTCTGTTGGTTTAGAAATCCTAAGGAAGATTTACTGCAGGAGCAGAAAATAGTAGCAGTGAAGGATAGGTGGGAAGTACATCAGGACCGGTGCTCGTGCTGCACTGGGAAGGCAGCTGGAACTGTGAGTTAAGCTTATTAATACATATTATAATTAATATATTGTATGTATTTATACATAATACAAATTATGTATTTTTTTCAAGCTATGGGGTTCCAGCATGCAGGCTTAAAAAAAGTAGTTTTTGAAAAGTTAAAAAAAAAAAAGAAAAGAAAAAAACACAGACAGCTTTGCTTTGTCCTTAAAAAGACATAGGACTGCAACACAGAGGAAGGCTTGGACAAACGGTGCCTTTATGAAGTGGCCAAGTGAGGCAGGAGTTTCAGTGCATCCTTGGAATGCAGCACCTGGCATCACACCCGGAGCACCTACGTGGGCTTCAATGCCAGGAGGGCAGAGATGAGCTGCACCTTGAAATCTACAATTCTCTTTTTCCTCTCTGTCAGATTTTATGTCACAGAAAAAAGAAAAACATTTGCTTCTCTTTGTCTCCCACCACAGTGCTTCCTCTCCCAAATGCAGCTCAGGTCCATCCCTCTTCAAATGACAGATTCAGCAAGCCTAGAGTGCTCCCATTCAATCTTTTTAAGTAGGATGTTCTACCTGATTTTTTTTTTTTAATTTTATTCTATGTTTTGGCCCAAGCACACATGATCTGTTCAGGTCACCACTAGTTCTAGTTTGGTACAGGATATTGCAGATATTGAGTTCTGGTCTCACCTTGACTGTGTCTTGTTACGCAGAAATTTCTGTAGTAATGTTGATGTTCCTTAAATGTCAGATTTGTCACCCAAAGATTAGCATCCCACATTATCTTCATATTCCTGAAAGAAATGGTTAGTTGGCTTTCCTCTGGAACCAATGTACAGGTGGGTATACTGTGTTTGTGTGCACACTGGTAATATCTGAACTCATTTCCAGCCAAATCCAAAAAAAAAGCTGGAAGAATGTCCATTTAACAAAGGTGACAGTCAAACAGAGGAGGAACTGTACAAATGCCTGAACTGAGGAGAGATGCTCTTTGAGTTTCCTTGCCTTAGACCCTAGAGAATTCCTACAGACAAATACTCACGTCATGCAGCTTCCCTGTTCTTCTCCTCCCATCTCTATGTCACTTGGAAAAGTTAGAATAAAGACAGGCCCTGAAAGCGTTAAGCATGGAGTAAGACAGGCTCTTAAAAGTGTCAGTGTGCTGCCCCAGCCTTCTGACAGTCCTGCTAAATCCTCTGGATTTAGTAAGTTCAGCTATTTAATATCTAGAAAGATAAATGTTGTTGGACCAGCTTAAAAGCGAAGTTACCCAAACTCTTGAGTGTCAGGGTTGGTTCTGGAAACATGAGGTTTTTATTAAATACATACAATTCTACCTGTTTTCAGGTTATCTGAAGAACAGATGAAACCGGTTTCCCTAGAAGCGCCCCACCTGTTAGGTACACATGCATGCAAAAAACACACTTCTGTTCATAGTTGCAAATAATTTGTATTTCCCCCTCCTCCTGCAGGTGTCACAGCAAGGCAGAAGGTATAAGAGAGACCAAGTGAACCACTCTCATGTCCCTGGAGCACTGCCAGCTTGCCAGAAACCAGGTTCTGCATCGATGAAATGCCACCACGGACACCTTCTGCCCCGCCTAGATGCACCACTTCTCCTCCTGCAGCCTTTCTCTCCCCTCCTGAGGACCTAAAGAGCCTCCCCAGAGACCTTGGACCCCTCAGCCCGTGCCTAACACCAGGCACCTGGGAAATGGGGGATGGTTCTGCATATGGCAGCAGTGAAAGGGTCAGACCTTTTATTCACCATCGTGGAAGCCGAGTCTTTTAACCTGCTCTTAAGCCAAACTCCTCTTGAAATGACAGCTGAGTGTGGCCTAAGAATGGACTACAGTGTTTAGCCCTCAGAGAAACGTTAAAAATAGCAGTGCCTCAACTAAATTAAGGGTATAAATTAAGCAGTGGCTGTACCACCACAGGTGGAAGTGTGTTAACTCCCTCTTCTCATCACCCACTGACAATTTATATTGGATCAGGTCCAAGACCCAGATCAGACAAATGTATTTTTACTCTCAGTCATTTAAAGCAAGGGAAATCAGTTACAGGGAGGGGAAAAAAAAAGTAAAATAAAAAAAAAGATATATTTTAGTAGGCATATGGCCATATAAACAGTGTGTGGTTCCTACATAATGCTTATGTGCAATTAAGTTGAAGCACGTCAGTAGTCTTAAGTAGTCTCGTCACACACACTGAAGTGTCCATCAACTTTTGGAGAACCAGGGCCCTAGTTCCTCTTATTAAAGCAACAGGAAGAGGTTTTCCAGAGTGCTCTGCTGGACACATTTTCAGCTTATCCTTTAGTAAATCTCTGGGTTTGACTTCTTTTGTCAGCTGCTTGCACTCAAGAGTCTACATCCAAGCTGCAGAATGTTTTGAGTCATGTTACTTTGGCTTTAAAACTGGGACTGTGCAGTATTGTGTTTTCAAAATACAGAGCTTTATTTCTCGAGTTTTGTAATAACACTGTATCATAGTTTTGTACATATCTGTCCATTTTAAAAGATCTATGTTTGTTGAATCTATAGTGTGATACTGTGCTGAAACATGAATCAAGTGGAAGAGCTCGGTACATTTCAGAACTATTCTTTTATATTGCAACTCACTGTGGCTAGACTAATGTGCAGGCTAAAGCTTATTTTGCTTTGCTTAATAGGACTTGTAACGTCCTTGTAACACTGGAAACTTAGAAATGAAACTAAGAATTAAATCACTGATTTGCTTTAACCAAAGCATCGCTATGAGCATATTGAGAACCGGTCAACAAAAGCAGAGATGAGTTGAGAGCAAACATGTGGGCAGATTCAGTGCAGGAGACCCTGCAGAGCAGCACAGCCCCATTGCAGCAGAAAGCTCATTCCTGCTGGAAGAAACAGGCATACCCCCACCATTCCCTGCAGAACCATGTCACTCTCTCCAGGTTTGACTTGCAGGACTGTCTCCATCACATTTACAGGTTTTCCCTTTTCTCCCCTCTTTTCCAGTCTCAGAGCACATCACCCAAGCATCATCTTTTTGCTCTTCAGTCTAGCTCCTCTGCTCTTGGACTAGACCCCAGGCTACAAAAATCTGAGTATGAGATGCATTTTCCCAGCAGCTTTGCAACCTCCAGGTTTCCAGCAAGAGCCTGCAGCCCAGGCTGGCAGTGCACAGCCAGCTTCCTCCTCACCACCCCACTGGCTTATTAACAGGAACAACATCATTTGGAGGTGCAGGACTGGGGAACAAACAGGTTTTTTGTCTAACAAACAGGTTTTTTAGTCTGTGTAACAACACAGGTTTTCTGTGTTACCTAGGGAACCTTGCCTGCTCATGACCCACAAGCTGCTTGCTTCAGATGCTGCAGCATGTGTCCATTTCTACACCTGGGTCTTTCAGCTTCCCCCATTTCCACCCAGAGAGAGCAGCTCATTTCCACAGAGAGAAGTTTTTTTTCTCTATGTTCTTACCTTGGCCTTCAAAGAGAGTGTTTGGCATTATCTTCCCACTGCCTTTAAGAGTTTACAGAGAAATGGGTAATTTTGAGCCACTGGAGGCTCTTTGTTTAACAGTCATCTGTGAAAACTATATTATCTATTCAGTCACATCCCAATAAGCAGACTCAAGCACAGCATTTATAATTTATTACTCCAGAGCAGCTCTGCTTCCATTACAGTGGTTATTCAAGAAGAGCAGGGAAACAGAATCAGAGCAGGTCAAAGACTGATGCTGAACTGAGATGTGCAGTTTTACTCCCTTTGTGACATTGAAATAAAGCTCATAATCCTGAAGATTTTTCAGTGGTTGCAAGGCCAAATTAATTGCCAGTAAAAGAAAAATCACTCATAACTACTTTGACAAGACTGTGGTCATTTAAGCTAACGGTGAGTTTGGACCTCAAAAAGAATTCTTGTGGTATATTACAGCAACTGCACATGGACTCCAGTATGTAAACCAGGCTGTGATCACCACAAGTTTCTTGCTGCCAAATAAATGCATATTCCTTAATTAAGCACTGGCTATGTGATAAAATGAAAGTATGATAGGAATCAGCAGAAGCCTTTTCCAAGTATTTCACATCAAAAATCAGATATGTTTAATGAGATGGATTCCAGTGTTAGCTTTTACTTGGTTGTTTGGGGGTCTTTTTATTTCAATACTGAAAATATTTCAAAGTTTAGAATAAAATAAGTACTTGGTGAGTTTCCTTTCTCTAGTGAGGATGGAGAAGACCTGTGATTCACAGGAATTTGTACATCTAAGTCCTATATTTCCCACATAGGATATAAAACATCTAAGCATGTAGTTCTATATACTCAGTAATAATTACCAATTGTTTTGCTCTTCTGTCAGCTCACTCAGTGCTCTCAGGTGGATCCCATCCGGCCACATAGACTTGTGAGTGTCTAAGTGGCACAGCAGGTCACTAACTACTTACTCCTGGATTTCAGGGGGTCTGTTCTGCTCTCTGTCCCTGTCTGCCGGATTGCCCTGAAAATAACCAGTCTTATTGTTAAAGGCTGAGGCAAAGAAGGCATTGAGTACTTCAGCCTTTTTCCTCATCCGTAGTGACAGTGTTCCCCTCCGCATCTTATAAAGGATGGAGGTTTTCCTTGGCACTCTCTTGTTGCTGATGTATTTATAAAAACACTTTTTTATTATTTTTTGCAGCAGTAGCCAGACTGAGTTCTAGCTGAGCTTTCACCTTTCTAATTTTCTCTTTACGTGATGTCACCATCTCTGGAAGTGTTCAAGAAAGGACTCAGCGTGACACTTAGTGCTATGGCTTAGTTGTCACAGTAGTGTTCAGTCAAAGGGTGGACTCAATGATCTCTGAGGTCTTCTCCAACCTTTATGAATCTGTGAAACAAAAGAGGCATATAAATGGAGCTGTATCTAGTCCAGGAGCACCACCACAGTGCTGCACTGTACTTAGAATATGGCTGAAACCTCAGAGCCATGCCAGAATCTTTTGGGTTGAGTGTACCATTTAGTCCTCTCCTTCCTTCTGTAGAGCAGAGAGGGCTGAGAAACACCTTCTGTTCCTGTTGGAAAGAGAGAAGGTAAATTTAAATAAAAGAAAAATTCATAAGTTTCATCAAAATTAACCAGTTTTCATTCTGTCTAAACATGAAGCCTGGATCTGTGGCTTCATATTTCTGGTACACAGTGGTCAACCAAGTGCAACATACAAATTTGACAACGCTGAACCTTAGCACTGTACAAACGCTGCTCACTCTGTCTGTGTGGTGATAGTCATGGTCATGAAATATGGGTGACCATGTTAGTCATGGGATTATGTCCACATAATGTATCTGAAAGGAAATACAGCAATGAAAGAGCTCCATCACAAACCACATTTTGTTTGGTCACCTCACAACTAAGCTGTGGGCAGGATGCGATAAACAGCTTTCCCAGGAAGAGAAGCGTTAACAGAGGGTTAAAAATGAGGCAGAGATAGTGACAGGACCTCTCTAGGTGTTCACAGTTACTGCATAGTGTCAATCTTGCAAAATAACCACATGATTTGCAAGATTTGCAATGGAAATGAGGTCCATAGTACAGCAATAGGTCTCCCAACTCCTTAGTTCAGAGCAGGTACCAGGCCTTAAATACCAATGGAGAATTTAATCACTGGAAGATAATCAACATATTCAGCACTGTGAGTAACTCACCCCTTCATCCATGCTGTGCTGGCACTTAATTCACATTAGGGACTCTCTAATGCTTTCTTTGGTGCAGCATAAACAACTCCTGCAAGAACTGTGTGTGACAATTCATACAGAGCCAGATGTCGGTAGGAATTAGCAGGAGCCCTGCACTTCCTTAATGGAGACTTTAAGCAGGCTCAGCTTGCATTACTCAGAGTCAGAAGACAAGAATCACTCTGTGGCAGTCAGCTCCTATCAAGTCAGTTTAGATACGTGCCCAGCGTGTCAAAGGAGGGTTTTTTCTAAGATCAGCAGTCTTCACTGATGACACCTACATTACAGTTATGGTTGATTTGCCCTGCTCTGGGCATGCAGAACTTGATGTGCTTGTTTAGTACTTGTGCAGCTTCATACAGCATAATCTGCTGTGAGTTTACTCATGAATTGGTGACAATAATTACCAAATCCATCACTCAGAGTAGATGGAGGAAGTCAGAGGAGAAGCAGAGGCAGCACATGCAAAAAGGGTAATCGGTCCTGTGATCCTTTGAAACCCACAACTCAATTTTGTAACCTAAATGAAACCCGCAATAGCACACAAAGGAGTGATCCTTTGAGACCAACAGACCAACAGATTGTTCTACACATTTTATCACGCTTTTTAATGTCCATTCTTTAAGGGTTTAACAGCTCAATTAGACAAAACCATAGTGGTGATGATAGTCCTCTGAAGGGGAGCTCAGACAAGACCATTTCCAGGGACCCTTCCAAACACCTTTTCTATGATTCTCTGTTCAGGAAGAAGTAGAGACAAAAGGTGCAGACAAGATAAGAATAATACGACTCCAGAAGCCCTTTCAGGTCTGTATGTTAATCCTCTTTGGTGAAGCAGTGTCATACACAGAAGAATATACCCCAGGAGTAGGGACCACATTCACCATACCAGCAGTCTACAAACCCATCCTGAATCATAGACAAATGGTTTGTTTTTCTAAAATATCTCTTTAATTGAAGAGACCCCAGGGGGAACAGAACAGAAGGGCGTTTTCTCCCTCCAAGTACTTTCAACTGCTTTATTTTGCTTTTAGAAGCCTAGAGGGCAGAGAAGAGACCCTGACCCCTACAGGGCATGTTCTGTGGCACGTATGGCTGCCTGCAGAGGCCTGAGTGCAAACCACAGCACAACTGCATGTAGATCAAATGGCAGCCACCATGGTAATCTCTTCCAAACCATGACCTATCTCAAACCTAGCAAACATCCAGAGATTAAAGTTGTTATATCCTGTCCCTAATCCCTTCAGCTATACAAGCCCAAATTGAAGTAACTGCTGAAATTCCTTTCCATTTTGAAGGCTTTATCCCTAGGATCTATGAACGGATCTTACAACACACCTTCTCCCAGCCTCCTACCTGTCACAGTCCATCCTCATACTTCACATACACCTTCACATGGTTCCTTGCTTGAACTGCCTCACTCTTTTGCTGCAGGTCATGGAGACCACAGCAAAAGGGTCTTAGCAGCACTGTCCCCCACATCTGCCACCCACAGCTGCTGCTGCTACTGGCCCAGGCTCCACCTGCAGCAGATACCAAGGCTCTTACCATCCCAGCAGCTGCCAAAAAGTGGAGCTAGTTGCTTTAGAGGGCTTTACCATTAACTCCATCGCTAGGACTGAGCCCACAGGCATTAAGCACACAGACTTCACAGCCACACTCCAGCCAGCAGCAGGGGCAGTCAAAGTAAGGAGTGCTTTCACTTTGTTTCCAACTGCTTCCAGTTTTTTTATGTGAGAAAATGAAGGTACAGCAGTATCTGGATCTTATTAAGTGAGAGGTCAATTGCAAAGGCTAAACAGGTTTTTGACAGCCAAAGCACTCTTCGAAGTGCATGAAATGCTGTGAACTTGGGCTACAGAGATCACTCATTTTCTGCCACTGGCTTCCTAAGAGGATGTGGGCAAGCCATTTTCCTGTGCCTTGGTTTCCACATCTGTGAAATGGGGGCAATGGCTTCCTTTGAAACACTTTGACAACTGTGGATGTAAAATACCATGAAAGAAATATTGTTAGCTATAAGCAAAAAACAAAATTCTGTTCTTCTATTTTCTGACATAGTAACACATGTTTGTAGCCATACTAGAGTCAAAACAAAAGGAAGAGGGAAACTTTCAAGGAATTACTGTTCTCCTAAGGCCTCTCTGCACCCAGGTTGTAGAAGGACCTTGGAAACCCCTAGGAATGTATTTCAAAGGAAGAGAACGAACCTTATAGCAAGAAGATTGCTTGTGCAACAAATTATTGAGATCTCTAATTTCTTCTACTTCGTATCTTCATCCTCGTAAGAATCATAATCATCAAGAATAAATTACACCTGAAAAGTCAACAGTGAGGAATATCACACTGGGAGCATCTCAGTGCAAGCCAGTTCCTGAATCCAAATCACAGCAAGTGGAGCCCATTGGGAGGTAACAACAGCTTTGTACTAGTTAGGGACACACATCTGCATAACCAAGCGACTAACCCTTTCCCCAGCTGGCTTATACACCCTGTCACTCACCTGCAGCCACTTGGTAAGCAGTACCTCTTCATATCTTCAAAAATATCTTGTATTGCAGACATCAACTCTGTGCTTACACTTTTGATGGTTACCTTGAAAGCGTATGGGGCACAGTTTCTAAATAACGACTTCCCCCTCAAAAAAAACCCATTAAGTATTAAGAGCACACAAGGAGAAGTATCAGGTCTTCTGAAGCATTAATTGAAATCCCCGTTTGAATATAATAATGACCAATAAATGAAATTCCAACAAAAAAAAAATCAAGATTTAAAAAGCTAATATAGCTCCATATCAGCCTGCCAGCAACAAAAGAAATGAAAAACCAAGAGTTCTTATGTGCCCCAAGACACAGAGGTAAGATAGTTTGTGGATCTGACTTAAAATTCTAAACCCTGTGCCATCAAAATACAGCTTCTCTTTCTAGGCTAATGAGGAGCGTGCCTATTTTTAGCATGTCAGTAAGCAGATGGAAATGAAAGCCTGTATTGTGCTGGTCCCCGAACATCAGCAGCTTTCCCAATAAAACAAAAGGTGGAGTAGCAGAGCACTGAAAACAGCTTCACAGTTAATTGCAAGTTAATTGATTCAACTGGATCATCAGAATTGGGCTGGTGTATTCAGTCAATCTCTGTTCCCTGCCCTGCCTAAATGTTTCACTTACTGAGCCTTTGGAGCTTCCCCCAGCACGACAGTCCTTGTCTGGTTGCGTGGAGATATGTGTGTATTTATGTATGCATTCACCAGAAGGGAGGGTTTGCACTTTCTGAGGAGAAATTTCACGCAGAGAATTCTTTTTAAAATACA